GTCGGCCAGCAGAAGAGCGCCTACCAGTGTTGTGAGCGCTGGCAGCTCATGCAGCCAGACCTCTGTCACTTTGGCGCCAGATTCTGAGAACCAACAATGGATGTGGACAGTGAAGGGCTCCAAGGAGGTCTGATGAAGGCTCATCAAGGAGGTCTGAGGCGTAGACTCAGAACTCTGACCCTGAATCCTCTGCTCTCCCTGCATAGTTCCCCATGGTGCTTCCTAATAAAGGGTGGAGGGAGCAAGGGAAGTGAGGGTGTGCGTCAGCTTCTGTCTTCCTCCCACCTCTTCTCTGCTGCAGATGATCTCTGTGATAGAGAAGAGATAGGAAAAAGAGATGCCTGTTTTTTTTTTTTTTAAAGATAAATGGATAGGAATTTATTACTGGAGAAAAAAAGATCAAAAGGAATGTGGGCTAGAGGTATAAACCGGATAAAAGGAGAAAAAGGAGGGGGAAAAAAGAAAAACATAATTTGAGATTGTCAAGCAAGGGACTTTGTGGGTGGGCAGAAAGGAAAGCCAGAAAGGCAAGGGAGAATACTGCCTCGTGGGAGATCTAGATTAAAAAAATATGGTCAGAGACAGGGGTCCAGATTAAGAGGGTCCAGAAAGACCTGTCTTGCAATCTGAGGAATCCTGCTCCCAGGGCCGATCTTGACCCCACCTGTTTGGGACTGCCTCTCTCAGGCTTCTATGTGTTTTCAAGAAGAAAGGGAGCCTGCATTACGAAGCTGATGTGGTACACACTGTGGTCTTGTTGGGCAAGAGAGGGTTGGAGAGAAACACTGCTCCCTGTGATTTATCTCCTGGCCTGCCTTCGCGTCAGCTAAGCCTTTCCAGCTATTCCATGGCTGTACTCTGGACAGCATTTAGCCATACTTTCCTAAGAACAAACATTAGGCAACACTGCCCCAAAGGCATCAGGAATTTTTGTCCCTTTCCCCTCACCACAGTTAGGTCATTGTGCAAAAGACTTGAGATGTGGGAAATGTCTAGCTCACGATCATGTCCTCCTGACAGTCAGAGCAAGCTACTTCCCATGGCCATGCGTCTTGCCATGGCGGGGACTGTTTGCTTGCTGTCCCGCTGCCCTGTGCCACCTTCCCCATGGTCTTTCCCTTCAAGGGGACCGCTGTTCAGGGTCCAGCCCCTCACTCCAGAGCTGAGCAGAAGGAGCTCTGATCCCCACCTCAATGCCTCAGCCTGCACCTCTCTCCCTGCACCAACTTTCTGCCTTTTTTGGTAATTATTTGTGTCCATGCCTGCTTGCTGCAGGCTGCTGCAGACTGGTAATTACTTTCCTCAAGGCACAGCACACACCGTCCTGCTCCTAACAGGTGTGGAACAGCCGGGAGCCAAGGACTGGTGCTCGGACACAAGCACTCAGCTCTGCCCCAGGGACTGGCTCTGCTGTGGCACAGCTACAGGTCCTTTTCTTCTCCATGGGATGCCAGGATCCAGTATTCTAAGGAATACACATTTTCCTTCACTTTGATGAAAGTGTATTAATTTTGTCTGCCCGATTTTAACAGAACTAAAGGGTGGGCTGAGGATGTTGGGAAGTTAGGCTAGCAATCAGCAAGAAACAAGAAGACAGTTCGCCTGGGAAGGTCAACCACAAATACTGTTTGCCTTCATGAGTTAGCAAAGAAGTGCAGATTGAGGGAATAAAAACACATCGCTTTAAAATATATCATTTCTTGGCCTTTTGGCTAAGATAAAGTGCAGCATCTGTTTTTATCAGTTTAATAAAATTTATTACAATTAACAATAATACTCGGGGTTGGAGATATAGCTCAGCAGCATAAGCACCTGCCTGGTAAGCGCAAGGTCCTGAGTTCAATCCCTGGTACCACACACAAGCACACAAAAGATATTTCCAATGTCTTATTTTAAAAAATATGCTTGACCACACTCGTGGAAAAAAGAGAGACAGTGAGAGCACAGTGGGTGCACCAAAAGGACTTCTTGAGTGAGTGAGCGAGTAAGTGAGTGGGGAGAAAGGGGTGGTAGAAGCCTAAGTGACAGGAAACTGGATGAAAACGGAAACAGGAACAGAAAAAAGAGAGATGCCTGGGAAATTTAGTGAAAAAGTAGACATAGCAGGGGAAGAGAGATAGGCAACCCAAGACTTAGGAAGCTCGAAATCAGCAAGTCTGGTTATACTACAAACTTAAAGTTGGTAACATAACAAGTAGAGAGCCAGCTGGGGGAGAAGACACAGACTGACAAAAGCCTGGTCTACATTCTGGAATCAGGCCGCTCTGGCACGGCCATGGCCCTGTGACAGAGCTTTGTGAGTTCACTGCTTTCCAAAACTTGATATTCTGCAGTAATTTTAGATTTACTTTTTTTCTTTGGTACCAGGAAAGTTGTCAAAACAGTAGAGTACCAGTACCATACACCCTTCATCCGGCTTCCCTTAATGTTCATCATAGTGTAAATATGAAAATAAGGAAATTAACAGCTATCCAGTAACACTAACTAAACTTCAAGTCTTATTAGCTTTCACCAGTTTTTCCATTACTATCTTTTGTTTTTTCCAGTTCAATATCCAATAGGACCCCATACTGTATTTAGCAGTCACTCTTATCTCTTCTAGTCTTGATAGTTCTTTGATTTTTTTTCTTACCGTCCATGACCTTGATACTTTCTGAAGAACAGAACGTCCTGAAACGTAGGGTTGCATGGTACTGCCTTCATCATTAGATTTAGGTTCACACTTGAGACAAGCCTGCCATGGAGCTGACGTCACCTGCTCCTCAGGGCACTGTACGTAGCAGGGGACATGCGCTGATATTCTCATTACTGGTTTTGCTACCCTTGGTCACTGGGTTGAGCTAGTGTCTAGTACTGGTTTCCCACCACTGCTCTATTTTTCCCTTTGTAATCAGCAAATATCTTGGGCAGTGTTTGTCCAAGACCATGCAAATATCCTGCCTCTTGTTACATTTCAGTTCACTCAAGATGGGCACTTGAGAACCCATCATTGCTTTTTGCCTGTAACAATTACGGCTGTAGCACATCTAATGGTTATTCTTTTTCCTACCTTTGTAACTGGAATTGACTGATAACCAAGAGCTGCTACTCTACCAAAATGACTGACTAATTTAATATTTATTCATGTTAGTATGAACTTAGGAATATGTCTGTGACTGTATGGTCAGCATCTAGCACTGTCATTACTTCTTTTCTTGTGTGAACTTCACTTCCTTCTTCTGCAAAACAGGCATAATGGTCATAAGGATTACATGGGATTAAGAATGTGAACATGGGGCCAGCGAGATAGCTCAGCAGACTAAGTGCCTTTTCAGGCAAGTACAGGGACTGGGTTCGATCCCCGACACCACATGCTACACTGGCCCTGTCCCCTGTCACGCTGAGCCAGCTGCCGAGTTTGGGCACTGTGGTGCATGCCTGTAATCCCATTGGCAGGGAGGCTGAAATCAGGAGGATCACTATGAGTCTGAGCTGCGTAGTGAGACCCTGTACCAAATATATAAGTTTAAAAAAAAGAATGTGAAAATGTCTGGTTTATCATATCTACTAAATAGATGCCCTTTCTTTTCAGCACAGAAAGCTATGCTAATACAAGGCTAAACCATCCTAAATAGCTGAAAATCTGAATGTAACAAATCTTTTTAAATGCAGTGTGGCCTTTCCAGCTTATGGCATATGAAACAACTAGAATTTAGCCATCTTAGGTTTTCTAGTGGAGTTTATTCAGGATCTGCTTGTAATGACTATTTAAGAATGATTTTTTAAATCAGCATACCCATAATTTGTATGAAAACACATGCTTAAGAATACTTGAAAATAGGCTGTTCTCTTAAGTAGTTTAAGTGTTTTCCCAGAAATTTTGTTTATGTTCTGAAGTTGCTTAGCTAACCTATTTTCAGAGATGGCCCAAGGAAAGCCTCAGCCCAGCTGTGGGTCACATCATCACTAGCTCTGAGTTAGTGATAGCACTGACTCTTCTTTGATTCCCAAGATTATAGCAGTGAGTGGAAGAGATCCAAGTTTAACTTAAAATTAGATTTTAGAAGTTCTGACAATTCACTTTTAAGTTTAGGTCAAAATTCAAAAGGGACAAGAATAGGGTCTCAAAAATGTGAGCGTGAGTAGATCTAGAAATTCAAAATACTTCATAAAATACAGTAAAATCCACTAATAAAATCATTCAATTTACGGGAACTTTCGTTTTCCAGTCCATTTTTATCAGTAAGGAAAATCAAGAATACCATTTTTAAAAAAGCAACTTTGGGTCAGTGTAGTTTGTAAGTTCTCATGCAGACTCCCTCCCAGAGACTCTGTCTCACTCAGTGTGGGGCGGGAACAGGAGCCTGCAGTTTTAGCAGATATGCCCCTAAGTGCTATGACACACCCCATGCTGCGTGTCCCTGGACTCCAGCCACACCTGTCCTCTTCAGAATTGGCTTCTGGTTGGGTCTCAGAGGCTTCGAAGTGACTTTCTGAGGCTGGAGACATTCACAGGATGCAGAGGAAGGAGGGGAGTGACCCATGGCCTGCAGGGAATGGCTTCGTGGTCCTCCATGCACAGAACCCAGGTGTGTTGGGTTTTAACCTTCTGCCAAGGAATTCTGATAATGGGACAGGGAGTGGGCTAGACAGATGTGGTAGGGTCATGTTGTCAAAGCTCTAAAATGAGATTTAGTTTCAAGAACACTAGTAGGAATGGGCAGAGGAGAGAACAGGGGCTCTGACTCTGGTTAGTAGCAAGGAGGAGGACTGGTACATTTGCCAAGGATAGGGAAGGGAGATGAGGTTGACTGGGCGTAAGGGCAGGTGGGCTCCAGAAGAAGGAGAAAGCATGTTGTGGAGTCTGTTGCCCAGAAAGAAAATTCCCCATGATAGAAGTGGCAAGACAGACAGACAGACAGACAGACAGATGACATCAGTGACAGACAAACCTAAGAGAAAGTTATGCTTAAAATCCACAGACAGCGTTTCCAATAGAAGCACCCAAGAGTGGCTCTTACCTCATTAAATCTCATCACAAGGCCTTCCAGGGCACTGAGCTCTCCATCAGGAGATGTGAGAATGGGTGCTGAGGTAGACGCTCTGAGGCAGGGCAAAGGCCTCTGGCTTTCTGGGCTTCCCAAGTCCCGGGTTAAGAAGCAAAGGTAGTCGACTGGCAGGACCCTGCGGTAAATGCTCTGCTCCTGTTCTGTTAGAATGCTGGCCACCTCCTCTGGGAACTGAATGAGGGGCTGCAGGTCGACCAGTTCCTTGCTGATCCCAGCTGAACTTGAGGGGAGAGCATTCGAGTTGGCCATAGAGGTGCCTGGTTGGCGTTCTGCAACAAAGCAAGGGAAGTTCTGGTTACATGGAAGTTGGTACTTTCTGACAGGCCGTACTTACTTCAAAACCATTCAAAGCCTTGTAGGCATCTAAGTCAAATCCTTTGCTTGGTGAATAGGTCTAGACTATCTTGTTTGTCATGGAGACCTTTTGGATGTCTGTCTGCCCACCTGTCCATCTGTCTGTCTACCTGTCCATCTGTTTCCCACTTCGCACCACCTGTGAGGTAAGGAGTAGAGCTTTTTGTTTTTAGAAGTTGCATTAATATAGCACATAATTCTCCCATCAGCTTGCTATGACACTTTTATAGTACCATTTGCTTCCTGATCCTTATCAGAGTGAGAAATAAACATGGATGTAGACACAGTCAAATGAAATGGAAGAGAAAAGAAGGCCATCCACATATATGTATATTTCATGTAAGCATGAAAGGGCCCGGGGACCCAGGGACCCTCTGCCCAGAAGCTTTCAGAACTTCATGGTATCATCAGCTCTCTACCTGCACTTCAGCAACTTTGATTTCACTGAGGTGCATTTGGGAGTTTTAAGAACAGATCTGACTATGAAAGGAGGAAGAACAGGTAATAAGATGTATCTAAAGAAATCCATCTTACCCACCTCCCACGGCTGGTGGCAAAAGGACACAGGAGAGACGGTGACGGCTGCTTTAAAGGGAAGTACCAAAGGCGGGGACCTCTGGGCTCAAAATGACTCCTTTAATTAGAAATGTGATCATGCTTTTCTCTTTATCTTGACACCCTTCCCATCTGCCTCTAATCTTATTGCCTACAGCTCATGCTTTGATTCACTCATTCATCTATATCTATCCATCCATCCAACAAGATTTTAAAAATTGGCCCAAGGGAGATAGCTCAGTAGAAAAAGCGCTTGCCTGGCAAGTGCAGGGTCCTGAGTTCAATCCCCAGTACTGCAAACAAACAAACAAACAAACAAACAATCTACGATAAGCCCTGGAATAGAATTTCCAAAGTGTTATCTTCAGAATGTTGACATGTAGAAGAAAAAGCAGTTTTTTGGGTCTTCTTTCTGGGGAGTGACCACAGGTGCCCATCATACACCCTCCTCCTGGAGATGCACGAGGCGTGCTGTTGCAGTTATGGGCTCTGCAGAGTCTGCCAGTAATGGGCCCATTTTCATAAGCTTAACCCAGGGCTCCCCAAAGCCCACTACTATCTATGACATTATTCGATGTGACTACTATCCTGGAAGCTCTTCAGGAAATGCTGCCCTGCGGCCCAAGTTGCCCTCAGTCTATATAGTGTAAGTCCTTCCTGTCCTGCAGATGCTCCTGGGGTCTTTCTCACACAGGTCCCCCTGGTGCAGGAGAGGGCCACGACCGTTTGCCCACAGTTGTTCTTACACCCCTGCTTTGCTCACAATGTCCTTGCTGAAATAAAGCCTGCCTACCACCTACCTATCTTCAACCTGGACACTGGGCCACAGAAAGTTTATGGAAGGACTTAGCATCAGACCTCAGCATTCCTAGACGTCTTTTTGTATCTCCACTGCAGAAATGTTAGTAACGATCAGTCCGAAGGGCCCTGTCTCCAAGTTATTAAGCTCTCAAGTCACCATTCCTGAGTGTATCCTCCCTTTCCCCCCAACACCAAAACCACAGCAACCACGAGGTTGATGTGGCATCTCTGGGAATGGTCTGGACTCTGCCTTTTTCCCCTCCACACAGCCTGGCCTAAGCAGCCCTTGAAGCATCACAAAGGAAAGGTTTTTGATGATATTGACTGCTTAATCAAGTGAGCTGCTCCTCGTTAGAGGAATGCTTGTGCTCTAGGCAAAAAAAAGCGTTGTGAGGAGAAAGCTTTAACATTTGTGAAATGTTGCTCTCCACTGATGCAAGTTTGGATTTATTTTAAACATATTCCAAGTAAACTTTTCTCTTTTGTCTTTTCCAATAAAATCATTTGGATCCAAACGATTGCTGCTTCTGACTGTGAAAGGCAAGCAGGTAGTGATGGAATTTATTCCATCTTTTGGGGCAAACTATCAAAAATCTACTGAAGCAAAAAATTGGGACTTCTTAATTTTTTTTTTTCTCTAGATTCACATTCAAAAAAGTTAAAAGCACAAAAGAGCTTCATAGTAAGGCAGATTCCTAAATCTAACCTGCCCCACTCTCTAAATCTTCTGACTAATTTAGAAAGTAACAAGATTTCCTGAAAATTGAGCAGAATGCGGCCTAGCCACAGGAGCGGACTACGTTTTGGGGGATACTGATCGTCTGTGTACAGGGAATGAGCCGCCGATGGAGCCCTCTTCAGATGTTGCCGACTCTAAACCATGACTTCCAAGTAAAGTACTCTACAGGAACAAAAACAACGCCCAAATCTTAAGAAACAGTGCTCACCTAATATATGAAAGAGATGATATGTTAACATAACATTTAGGTAAGATTGAGAAGGCAACAGATCTTGAGTGAGGAATCATGTGTTGTTACAATGAATGACGAATGAAGCGGCCAGTAGAAAATGGTAATAAAGGATATTTTTTCTTGAAAAAAACTGAATTAAAACATGAACAAGAAGCCTGGCTGGCATAACCCAAATAAACCCAGTGACCTGTGTGTCTCAGGATAAGCATGACATCCTATTCAAAAGAAATAAATCAAACCTTGAGACACACAGCAGTCCTTTAATGTAGGTTTCCTTAAAACAGGGTTTCTTGGGGATTTTATACCATGTGCCATAAAAAATACCCCAACATTTTTCTTGGGACATAGTAGTCTGCCCCCGAGTCCCACACTATTAGCAGTTGTATTTTGTCCTTTCTTTCACCTTCACGGAGCTCTCTGCATGTCCTTCCCCTCCACGTGCCACACTGCCAGGGCTCAGCTCTATGCCAGCCCCAGCCTCGCTCTCAATAACACTGGCTGCATGACCGTGGATTAAGGACTTAGACAGTGGTGGCGAACCTCCGGCACACATGCTACCGCGCGCTGTGGGTGTCACTGACAGCGCCGGGGGGTTCGCCATCCCCCCTCTAGGGGCTCTACGCCTCCTGCTGCTTCCTTCACATCTGTGCAGCGAGGTTCAGAGTCCACTGCGCACGGTATTTATTTGGTGACAGCCTTTTCAAGAAGTTTCTGGTGCAGAAAGTCAGCTACCTCCCGCACAGTCCGCGCTGCCAGCCCCATGTTCTGTTTGTAAGTATTCAGCAGCAGAATATGGCTAAAGCTCCACACTGTCACGGCCCTGACATTGGTACCATGAGACAAGGTAATTTCCAATTCCAGTTTTCTGCTCTAATATAAGCTTCTTGTACAATGTGCGTCCTGTGGATTAACAGAGGAGACGGTATTACTGCACATATCTTATTCCTAAGAAGGCCAAGGCTCACACGCAGTCATATCGCAGCAAGCCGGGCAGCTGGCATCGGAACCAGCCGGACTTCACGCCCAGCTCAGGGTCCTGGGGACCTGGCACCTGCTCTGCTGACTGCTGCAGTGTGTGGACGCACCTCAGGAGACTTCAGCGTCAACTCCTGAGCTTCTTTACTCAGAGCCACCTAGCAAATCGCCTACGTGGATGCCAATGGTAAGGATCTGGTCCAGAGAGTGAGGAGCTTCCTCCCTTGGCCAGCCTGGAGCTGGCCCTTGAGCTCCACCACTACAGGTGCTTGTACTACAGCTCGCAGAAACGGCCTTTCCTTCCTGCGAGTCCAGGAGTCCGCATGGCCCCAGGTGTGTTATACTGAATTTATGCAAAGTGTGATTCCCTTAGTTAGTAAGTGGTTAAACAAAGTTAAGTGGGCTTTTAGCTGCAGGACTTCTCAAGTCCTTAATGATTCCCATGAGGGAAATGTACTTGCAATGTGCCCTTTTCAACCTTGCTAGCTCTGTATCATTTACACAGAAGCACAGTCTCTTTAAAAAGGTTTCCCACCACACTTGGTGATTTCCAAGGGGACACATGGGGCCTACAGAATTCATAAAGTTGGTGATTCTGCGAGGTGTAGACTTCCATACTGTAAGTATCCCAAGATCGAAGAGTTAAAAATACTATAGCTTATTTAGGGAATTGCAAGTCATTCCCTGTGCTGAACCGTACTAAGAGAGGTGGGGCATGACTATAAAACCAGGAAGACAGCTTCACTTTCCAGAAAGCACGAGTGAACGGGTGTGGCTCATAAGAGAACAAAGGGAGATATATGTTCTTCAGATTTTAGGACTCATGTTGGACCTAGGGATCACCTCATCTGGAAGGAGGGAGCCCCAGGCTGGGTCTTTTGAAGGCTGCTTCTCTAAGTAGCTGGAGCACTGCCCCCTGCCACCCTCTGCCTTCCTTGCTTTCTGGGGGTCACCCATCCCTGACCTTGTTGCTAAGCTGGCATTCCCAGTGGCTGTCCACCAATGCACAGCCCAGACGTACCCGGAGGGCTGGCCATAGTTGTCTACACTGGATGAGTATTTTTCTTTAGTAGTGTTCAGTAGTGCTCTTGATGAATCCTCTACCCTTCAGAGTTAGCACTTAAAAAACAATGCTCTGGGCTGGAGATGTGGCTTAGTGGTGGACTGCTCATCCAGCACGCATGGGGCCCTGGGTTGGATCTCCAGCACTGAAGAGGAAGGAAGGAAAAATGGAAGGGAGGGAGGAAGGAAGAGATGTAGGAAGGGAGAGAAGGATGTGGGAAAGGAGAGAGGGAGGCAGGGAGGAGAGGAGGGAGGGAGGCAGGGTGGGAGGGACAGAGGGAGCGAGCTTGTTCCGAGCCGGAGCCCATCCAAGAACCTGTCAGCATGGGCTAGAGTCCAGCAAAACCTGCCACCTCCTATGTGTTTCTCTTTTTGTTCTCCACTAAAAGTTACAGCACTTGATCCTCCTTGCAATGGCTCATCCCGACCTCTAAAGTTCACAAAGCCATCTCATGTTATCTTGGCAGAATGCAAGGAGCCGTTGCTCCCATTCAGGTGGGCACTGTTGCTCTGTTGTTCATAAAGCCTGAGTTCAGTTGTCACATGACTTG